CCTTCACTTCACATCCAGCTTCACATCCCAACTCTTTATGAGTGAAAACCCGCCAATGTGTGCAAATGAGTTATGCTGACAGGTTCCCTTTTCATCCAGTCTGTGTGATATCCACCCGAGTTGTATTGGTCAAATTCACCGCCCCTTTCGCTACATCTTCATCTGCCGCTTCTCCTGCGCGGTGCATCACCAAGTCAAGAATCGACAAGCTTGCTCATCGATTGAATAGACAATCAGTTTCTCAACATGAACCGGTTCAGGACAAAGAAGAAGCAGAAGGAGGTGGAGGCGCCGACGACTCGGTCGAGTGAGGACTCGGAGCAGTCGTCTCTTCCCTTCAGAGGGTTTCGCAATCGCAAAAAGGTTCAGCAGGAGGAGACCAAGCCAGAGTTCGATCTCGCCACTGCTCTTCCTTCCACCGATGATTTCCGGACCAGTCTGTTGATGTCTAACCTCTCCGCCCGGTTCTCCATGTTGAGGGAACAAGATGATCCAAACACCAAGATTGGGAAGGCCAGCGATGACAGCGTATTATACCCAAATCGACAGTCCCGCATGGCCGACTTTGGGTTCTCTGGTGGTGCTGGTTTGGCTGACATCGCTGAGGTGGAGTCGATCAGGGCTGCTACTTTTTTGCGAAAAGACTCTTTTGCGTCTGATGACACCGACGTGAAAGGGGGTGTTATGAACCGTTCAAAGCCGCTAGAGGGCAACAACTTGTTTGGCGGGCGACAAAAAGTTTACAAAATTCCGGCTGGGTCAAAGGCTGCTGCAGGAGGCCTGGGAGGACGGGCTTTGTACGACGACGACGTTCCAATGTCGGCTTTTCAGAAATGGAGACAAGCTGAACGGGAGAGGTCTATGGAGAGAGGAGAGGCTCAGTCAGATCAGCCCGAAGAAGATGTTGAGCCAACGCGGTCGGCATCTCCTCCACCCAGTGCGTACAACCAAAAAAGGGAGACATCCTCAACCATGTCATCGGCTTCCAACTTGGCTCGCAACTCCACAGCGGCCACTTCGATTACCTCTCAGACTGCCAATAGCGTCAAGGATTCGTCCTCAGCGGCAACTTCCTCGACTACCGCGAATACTGGGCCGGTCACGAGAGCGAGACGGCTGTATGAGCAGGGTCTTAATCAGGATCTACAAGAGCAGCAATCCTCTGCCTTGTCTCGTCTCGATACAATGACCCGCCAAAGACCCTTTGGCACCCGCAATGACGCAGGCGCGGCACCTTCCCCCTCAACTGCCTTTGCTCTCGACAGATCAGTGAGCGAGAGACGGGCAATGTTGGCAAAGGCTAGCGCCCCAAATCTGAGGACCCCCAGCTCTGCCACCACTGCGTCTCCTGTGAGCTCAGCGAGCTCAGTTCCGAAGCCTTCGCCTCAGCCTGAAGCAAAGACAAACTTCGGCGCCGCACCCCCTCTCAGTCCACCCATCAGCGAGACCGGCGAACAGCCCTTCCTGCCAATTCAGCCAAACGATGTTGGCAAGGCGACGGCCCTTGGCATGTTCCAGAAGCCATCGCAACCGTATGATGAATCCACGTACGCCCAGCGCCAGATTCAGCTGCAACAGGGCAGGGAGACGCCTACCCCAAAAATCAGCCTCGATGCCAGCAGCAACCTTTCGCCGCCGTCACAAGCCTCACAGGGGATGCCGCCAACCCCGGTTCCCGACTCCGAGCTTCCAACCCCACCGATCATCTCCAACCTAAACCTGTCTCACTCCACGCCCGACCTCAGCCTCCAACGCCCGGCTGACGAGGACCACCCAGCTCTCAGGCAATCGGCAATGCCTACCCCCCTCTCCGTCACCCCAAGGGTTTCTAGCCCGCCTCCGACCATCCGGACATCGTCTGAAGAGTCTGAAGAGCCAGTGCCAATCGATTCGCCAACCCTGGGCCCAGCTCCCGGCTTGGCTGGCTTGAGCGGCATGGTTCGCCAACACCTGCGTAGTGAAAGCACAAACTCGTCGATCTACGACGGCGGACCTCAGACATCAGGCGTTGACTCCCGCTTCAACACGACACTGTTCAGCCCATCTATTGTTAACGACCTTGCGTCCCGCTCAAACCCTTGGATGAATGGTGATCAAGAGTGGGCTGTTTCGTACTACGGCGGTAACCCTGACAAGGAGCCAGCTCCAGAGACAGCTAACCCAGATGTAACCCCCGAAGCCAAGGCCGATATCACCGAAGAAGAAGTCGATGAGTTTGCCACCCAGCTCGCCGATGCCCGCCGTCGTGTCAGGGAGAAGTTGACGTCGTATGTCGAGTCCGATAGCAGCAGAGCCGGTTCCCCTGTGCCCCAAGAGGCGGCGCCTCCCGCGTCATCAACATCATTGAGTCTTGGTATCCTCAAGTCGAAGTCGAGCAAGGGTTCCATTGTGGAGCGATCGCGAAACACTAGCGCTGCGCCATCGAAAGTCACCAAGATGCTGGGAATTGGTGCTGCAACCATGAGCACCTCTCCGTTGCCAACCAAGCAATCCTTCGATGACAAGGATGTCTCGACACTTGCCACTATGAGAGAGGAGTCCAGACAGCAAGAGGCCGAGTCGCAGGACACCCGCCATTCTTCGGAATCAGCGACTAGCGGTGAACCAGCGACCAAGCCAGAGGATGAAGACAGTTCCCGTACTCCTCCTGGTCTGAGAGCGTTCCAGAAAGCCAGACGGGAACTTCAGAAACGCAAGGAGCTGGAGACGCTGGCGCGCCGTCAAGCCACGCAAACATCAGCCGCTGCCGATGGCCAAACACCCCTTCAGCCCCCCCCTAGAGCTGACCGTAGCATGAACCAACGCTCGCCGCCGAGCGGCGATAGGAGACCGCCTCCCGTAACATACCGGCCACGTGCTCCCAGTGACGAAAGCAACTACAGCAACTCCCCGAGTGGACGCGATCGCAGTGGCTCGGAGAGATCGGAGGGTGGTGGTCGTTCGCATAGCCGCCCTCCTCGCCTGATGACCAACGGCAACATTATGTCTCACGATCAGTTGGCTCCCTGTAGTGCTCGCACACCAATGATGCGCTCTCCTGGTCTGCCAGGGACTGACATCAAGGGGTCTCCCATCATGCCTCCTCATCCCTATCCCGGCCGCGGGGTTCCGTCACCGGCCGCCTCTCCCATGCTCAACCAGTCGAGATCAGTCGGAAATCTGGCTCTACACACGAATCGCCTCGGTATTGACGTCCACCCCGGGCAACCCTCACCCATTTCTCCCATGGGCCTCCCATCCCCGTCGCCCTATGGTGCTGGAGCATCGCCCTCGCCGGTTGGAACACCCACTTCGTTCGGTCCCCGGATAGGTCGACAACCATCAGTCTCTCAATCGCCAGCCTTGGGACCGGTGAATGCGAAGCGAATTGTCGACAAGCGAGAAATTTCCGAGCCCACGCTCATGTCAGCCACCACTCGCGTCCCAACCGTTAACCTCCCCCACCAGCGTGCTATGGGCCCGGATGGAAACGATAGAGGACGCCCGTATCCGGAGTCGAGGTCACGTTCGAGCAGCCGCGGGGGTGCGCCGCCGCCTCTGCCTCCGATCAATCCACGACGCAGACGAGATGATTCGAGTGCTGGACGCATGCCGGAAGATTCCGGCATGGCTGCCCCGAGGTTGCCTTTCGCCAGCCAAGCGAACCACAGTGCTTCCAGTCTTGACCATGCCAGCGAAGACGAGATGGGCCGCCGCAGATTGCGCAAGGCCAGGCCCTCCGATGGACCTACTCCCCCAAGCGCCAGGACCTCTGGCGGAACTCGAGACAATAGCCCACCATTTCTTGCCAAGGGCCCTCTGCCGAGAATGAACCCAGGCATGGGCCCCGGTGGCATGATTTAAGCATCACTGCTACCACCACCAACTTTTCCTTGTCTCTTCGTACCCGTTGTTCTCTTCTAATATTCCCCCGCGTTTTTCTCTCCATTGTCTTGCAGACATGTTTTTTTTTCATATATTTGTTTATTTTTCTTTATGTACATCTGGCCCAGGCCAAGGTCATGAGGCTATGAAAACCCGAGATACCTCTGTAAAACTAGACTGCGTTTAGGTGTGTGTACATGTGTGGACTGGGAAGGGTGGAAAGGGGGCGGAGCTTGAATTGGTTTGGTTTTTCTTTTTTTGTTTGTTAGGTCGTGGTTAATGGGTTTCTGGACTGGCTGGTTCTGGTATTGTTCAAAAGAAGTGATATCCCATATGTTGATGTTTTTTTCTTGTTTTATCTTTGTATCACTGACAGCTTTTTTACTTGTGAGGACCGACTGATTCTGTACTGAGCGGGTCGAGTACCCGCGCTTTATGTACCAGTCGCTGGATTTATTGTGGAAGATGTTTTTTGTATGTAGCGTATCAGAGCCACATTTGAGTGGGTGCTTGGTGGATGGGGGATCTTGTAGTTGTAGTTGAGGAAATTGAAACAAACAATCAGTCAAATGAAGGTTTTTGGGTTTGAGAGTGTCGCTGATGTGGAAGGCTGCCGCTGGAGGGGCTATGCTTGGAGGATGAGGGGGGTTGATGTTTCGTGGATCTCAACCGAAGTTACCCCATTGGTGGCGTTGCTTTGCATGCGGCTCATGTATTGCTCTCTCACCACCACCCCCGCTTCAAGGTCCGGATTTTGCACTTTTCTCTCTTGGGAGTTGTAACTTGATTAGGAGAAGGACAGCCTTGATAACAGCATTTATTGTCATTTACAGCCATATGTTGGTTAGGAGTGGTTGTCAAATTCGCCAATTCTTTTAGTTTCTGCTTCATTTGCTCAAGGCACTCGCCCCGTCTTACCAACCGGCCCCACTTATTCCGACGTCACCTCGTCCTCACCATGGCATTCATCCGCCCCTTTGTACCAAAGGACACGGAGGACTGCAAGTTTATTGCATGTTTTTCTCCACCCCCCCCCCCCCCCCTTTTCTTTTGTTTCATGATAATAATGTTGATCCATCAAACAGTGCAGAGCTACCCTGCCCCCTTCGCTCGCCTCGTCCCCGGCCTGTGTGGCTATGGCGCCCTACCTCTGGACGTTGCAGTTCACGCACCTCTTTCCTGAGCACTGTTTTGTGCTTGATGATGGGAGTGGCAGGGCGGTGGGGTATGTCATTGGGACGCCTGACGTTTTTGCGCTGGAGGAAATGTATCCGAGGTATGTGGAGGAGGTGTTGGGGAGTGAGCAGGGGAGGAGGGATGTACCGCCTCCGGAGCAGATGGAGAGGTTGGAGGAGTGGTGGGTTGGGGGGGGTGAGGGGGGAAAAAAGGTGAATGATAGGTGTTTGGCGCAGACGGCTTATAATGTTAAGTGGTTGGTGCTTGAGGGGGTTGAGGGGAAGAGGGAGCTTGTGGAGGGGTGGAGGGGGATGTTGCATATTGATTTGTTGGAGGGGTGGCAGAGGAGGGGGTTTGGGAGGGAGATGATTAGACGGTTTGTTGAGGGGGTGGAGGGCGTGAAAGGGGGGGAGAAGGGGTATGATTATGGGAGGGGGATTCAGTTGGGGGTTGCGGGGGAGAATAAAGGGGTTGTGAGATTTTATGAGGGGGTTGGGTTTAGGGTTTATCCTGGGGGGGAGAAGGAGGGGAATGTTTGGATGGTGAGGGATTTGTGATGGGGGGTTTTGGGAGTGTACCTAGATGATGGTTTTTAGGGCGAGAACTGTTTGGTAGAATGAGATTGGATCACTGACTTTTAGGTTTGATGATTTGTTGTATGTTTATGTGCCGCTGGGGTCCTGTGGTCATGCGCCATGTTTCTTCGCTATATGCGAAGGCATTGTTCAGTGGATTCGGCCTTTCATAGCATGGCGAAGGCTCAACCCACTCCTTCACGACTGGATTTCCTAGTTGAGTGCCCACTCAGCATGCCCTTGCTGTCACAGATTCCGATGGCATTTGCTGGATGGGAGCCCGCCCGATGTCTTGATCTGTGCCTGCCGCCAAAGTCGATCTGACCTGGAAAGTGGACTCAGCATTAACCTTGCTCTCGACCTTGATGTCGGCCTCTCCATGATCCCATTTTCGGCCATAGTAATGAACTTGATCTTGGCTCCGGCTTTGTGTTTACACCAAGTAGGAAACCTGACCTTTACCTGTAATTTGGTCTTGGTTTTAACCTTGCTCTCGCTTTGATGTTGATGTCAGTGTCATGCTTCTCAGTGCTAGAGGTCTCAACGCGTGCCCCAGCGCCGGAAGCCTTTCAATCAGCCCGCGTGCCAGCGCCAGAAACTGTGCTTGGTTAAGGTCGGTTCATGTCACACGGTTTGCGATATCAGTCAGTCCAAATGAGAGGGGAAAAATGTGTATATTCTCTACCATAACCTGCTGCTAGCAACAACTGGTAAGTCTACCGTACCTACTTACTCACCATAATACCCCTTTTCTCGCCGCGAGCACAGCCGAGACACTCCGATGGCCAATAATCGATTACGCACGGCTAAGAACTTGCGGTGTTTGTCGGCATAGGATATCAATAGTGTGTTGCCAAAAAAGACGCGCACGATACAATATGTGTGATGTAAATAGTGTTAAACCATTCTAAGCCAGGTGTAGCAAATACAAAACCCCTCAAGGACACCAAGATCATATTTCCTTGCTCTCATCTCTTCACTAACTGTTGCCCAAAGCTTTCTGATCAGCCCGCGCACCTGTGCCAGAAGTTGTGGGATAGCGGACAGTGGTCACTGGTGCAAAAAGCGAGGCGAAAGTGGTGAGAAAAGTGATGACGGTGGAAATCCAACAGAGAGAAAAGAAAAAGCTACAAAGTGTGTGAAATATTTTTAAAGCAACAAAGCCCTAATCCAGAGCAACCAAGGTGTGGAGTGGACCTGACAAAAGATTTCTAATTAGCCGTATACCGGCGCGAGAAGTTCTTTGCTCAGCGCGCGTGCCGGTGCCAGAGGTTTTCTGATCTGCCCGTGTGCTGGCGCTAGAGGCCTGCGTGCCGGTGCCAACAGCCCGCGTGTCGGCGCAACGAGCCCGCTTGTTGGCGCCGGGCACCTTGGACAGCAGCGTTTGCAAGCCCGAAGAGCAGCGTTTTCAAGCCCGCCTGCCAACTTTTGCTTGGATGGTTTAAGGTTTTTATGCATATTTACATTGGATTACCTGTAGGAAGCGACTTGCTCCATGTGCAACCCATTCCCCCTTTACTCCTTGTGCACCCCCATATAAACCCTGAGGGTTATAGCTGCAGCACTGCCTCTTGCTCATCAGCATTTATTGCAGAGACCTCACACCCACTCGGCTATCCTGATTCCCGTACAAATCACTGTATAATCAAGATCTTCTAATTGCTAGACTATCAATTAAAGCTATTTTCAGCATGGCTTCCACACATGTAGATGTTGCTGCTGACAGTAATGCCTGCACTGGGTGCGTATTTGTCAAATGTATAGCTTGCCCGACCATGTTGTCAGGGAGCTCAGCGATGCCAAGAATGGTCCAATCAAAGCCAAGGGTCGTGTCGAGTGTGTTGGACTACATCACTCACATCAACCGATACATCCTCACGGCAATGTAAAGGGAGGGTCCTTGTTCCCCGTCTATGTGATACTCGAGAACAGGCGTCTAAAAGTTCCATTGTGTGGAAGGCATGGTTGAACACAGTGGTTGTGGCTCTTGGTTACTCTCTGAGCAATCATTAACGGCTATTGTTTGTTAAAAACCGCACCTATAATCCTGACCCTTGAGAGGCGTGCACAAAAGGGTAATGGGGGATGCACATTCAGAATCAGGGGGTGCACATGAAGCAAGTCCCTATATGAAGACATTGTTCCGTGGATTGGGTCATTCAAACAATGATGAAAGCCAATCTAGGTTTAGTATCATGGCTATGTGGATGAACGTGTTGAGTTCTGGAACCCAAACAGTTGATTTGAAGCATGTAGGTGAACTTGTGATATTGTCTGACAAAAGAGAGGTGCTCGGAAGAGTGTACAGTGAGATATTTATACATAAAGAGAACGTGATCTGCCAAAAGCTCAGCATTCAACCTTGACGCAGTGTATCTGTCTAGTCCATGCTGTTTGACTTCTCCATGGAGCCTTGCATTCCTCCACAGAATGCAAACCTACCTCACAGCCCTTGATGTTACGATTTTCAACGAGATTATCATCGGCTAGGCACCGGCAGCCACAGCTCCGGCCCGGCACCGGGAGCACCTTCCGGAGTAACGTTTCGGCCCCCGCCTGCCTATTCACATGCCCGGCGGGTCCCGGAGGGGCACAAGGCTCCGACTTTTCACTCCCACTCCCACTCCCGCCGTTCCCATCCTCTCTCTCTTCTCTTCTCTTCTCTCCCTCATACTGCTTGTCTCGACAATTTGCAACCCATCTCGAGACCAGATCATCAGCTCGAGCACCTACGTCCTGTCACCCAATCCTCCTTTTGGTTTCCTTACAATCAAAAAGATCCCAATCATCAACATGTCTGACAACGGCAAGAATCCCGCTGTCACCGGCCCGGTAAGTCGCTTGAAGATCTCGCGATGGATGGATCTGCTGCTAACCCGCCACAGAAGGACTCACTCCCCGACGGTGGTCTCACCAATTCCCTCGAGGAGATGTTGACCTACCAGAAGGCCAAACTGGCTTCCATGGCGGGTTCTCCCAAGTTCGACCCCAAGGCCGACACCCCCAAGCGTGAGAGTGGCTCCGAGTACTCCAAGAGCTCCTCTTTCCACGAGGACAGCAAGGCCGGCAAGGGCAAAAAGGTCGGCAAGCGTAAGGGCGGCAAATGCAAAGGCGGCAAAAATACCGATCGCCCCAAGTCCCCTCTGACGACCAAGTTGGTCGTCAAGGATGAGTCTGCTGCTGCCGACAAAGAGCAGTCTGTCAAGACTGAGACTCCTGCCGGCTCCAAGTACCAGGTCGACGTCAAGGTCGGGACCGACGATCGTGTCAACAGCAAGGCCAGTATCAAGGTTGAAGCTCCTGCTGATATCGAGCACGAGCACAAGGTTAAGTCTGAGTCTGTCGCTGCTGTCGAGACTGACGAGATTCACATCGATGTTGGCGAGAATGACCTCTCCATCAAGACCGAGATCAAAGAGGAAAATGCCTCTGGCTCTGGCCACGGCTTCGAGTTCAAGAGCCCGTCCAGTCCCTCCATCAAGGCTGAGATCAAGGAGGAGAGCGCCTCTGGCTCCGATCGCGGCATCGATTTCAAAAGCCCGCCTAGCCCTCCCAAGACTCCCGTCAAGGCCGAGGATCAAGCTGCTTTGGGCCCTCAGATCAACAAGGAGAGCTCCGGTTCTGACTATGCCGTCACGACTCAGGAGGAGAGTCCCGTTATCTCTGACGAGGCCAATACCATGAAGCTTGCGAAGTCTTCTTCGGAGAATCTTCTCCAGAACACCAAGGGAGAGACCGCCGGCTCCAACAATTCTGATGTTCAGCAGGAGTGTGACGACAGCCCCCCTGTCCAGATTCGTCAAAAGGTCCAAATCCTGACATACCATCGAGACGCCGACATGTATGTCCGTGTCCGTAACGCCGCGTCTCTCGGTTACGGGTAAGACAACTCCTTGTTTTTGCTTTGGCGGCCATGTGTCGGAGAGGTGTTTGATTGCTAACGATGTCAGCTTCAACAGGTATGCCCATGTCCGCAAGGATGCCCTGATTTCTGCTTCGGGCGCCATGAAGGCGAAATTCGGCAATGCTGCCAATGCCATCATGATGACGGATAAGGACGATAGTCCTTTTGGGTTGAACGTTGTGTTTTCTATCCTTCACCACAAGTACCACGAACTTGGCATTCGTCCGACTATTCCTGAGCTCTATGGCCTGGTATGTACATGAATATGCCTGGATGATTGATCTTGCTTGTTGGCTGACACTTTGGTAGGCCCAGGTAGTGGAGAAGTACGATGTGGCCCACGTTATTGTGCCGTTTGCCGAGAAGTGGTTGGTTCATGATTTGAATTTTCATATCATCATGGCCGGGGAGAATCTCAACAACGAGCGGGTCATGGTGATGACTTGGATCTTTGGTGAGGGCCGCTGGTTCTCCCGCACTCTTCCCAAGGTTGCCCGCGAGGCTACGCTTCAGGACGGCGTCCTTACGGGCGCCGATGGTCCTTTCGCTGGAAGAATTCCGGACCATTTGATCGGTAAGGACATGACTGAGAAACCTACACGGAATTCTCTTGATGGCGCATTGACTAACTGACCTGTGATTTTTAGAATGCATGTCCAAGTATCGGCTGTTCTGCCTTCGCAAGTTGCACAAGTGCATCGATGAGCCCCTGACGGCACTGATCAACGGATCTCGTCAATACTGTCGCGCTGGCGATGCCACCGCCGACATCAAAGAATCCTGCAACCATCAGCACCTCGGAGGAATGATCTCTGGGCTGACCATCGCCGGGTTGGTCCCCTTCCCGGAGCCGGAGCGGTACCAAGGAAGCGTTTTGAACCTCATCCAGAAGCTGCAGTCCATCCGCCCTGTGCGCTACAAGGTTCCGGGTATCTCGCCCCATATTGACACGCACCAGAACTGCGGCATTCGCCATTTGCAGCTTCTCAAGGCAGTTGGGGCTGAGCCCATTCGTTTGACCAACGAGTTGTACCAAGACTTCAAGCGCCGTGGTCAGAAGACCGGCGTGTTCTCGGAGGAGCTCTACAATGAGCTCAAGGTTGAAGAGATCCATCCGGCCGCGGATAACTTCAAGGATGACCAGGATCACTTTGTTCAGGAGTCTTGGGAGTTGGACTTTGAAGTAGATCAAGGAAGAAAGAGGGGATGGTGCGTTGTTTGCTGATCGGCGCTGGTGGCGGATACCTATGGTTGGGCATCAGGCATCTACGGATGCTTGGGAAGTTTGATGGGATCTTTGGTGTTTTCGTCTAGGATGATTGTCACTCAGGCATACGTCATCTAGTTTCTGTGAAGGTACCAAAGAACTGTGTTGTAGCTAAATCTGAGGTCCCTACATGTTGAAGGGATGTCTTTTTAACCATGCAAACTGTTGTGCGTGTCCTCAAGGTATCCATGAATTGTGAACAAAGCGATGATGCCATTCCTGGATGTCAAGCAGGTGCCTGGTTACACATACTCGGCAATGTCTCGGGCTGAGGGAGTAGGTTTGACAACTGTGCAAAAGGAGAAGAAAAGAGGGATTTGGACTCTGACCGGGCTGCTGCATAGGGGGGTGGGGGAAGGGCCTTGATGGGCAGTCAATATTTGATCGGGGCATCTGGGAGCGAGGAGGGCGGCGGCACGGTGAATGGATTGATTGCAATTATGCTGGCAGCCGAAGGCTAGCTGCTTGCCTCGGCGACATATTCGAGGAATAGGTTGGGGGAGAAAGTAGAGCTGCCAGGCCTCGCTGGCAATGCATACATACCTTTGTGTCCCTATCTTGTTCTGCTACATGGCCGTCCGGGCCGCCGCTCCCCGGTTTGCACAGCTTTATTCCTTTCCATCTATCTCTTGCATCTGGTCATCGATCGTGTCGAGGGAGCCCAAACGTCCGGATCAGACCCATTTTGCTGCATGGTGGTGTCACTGGTTAAAAAGCGTGCTGGTTTCGTGTCTGTGAGAGGTACTGGGCTTTGGAGGTCGCTGTCTGGGTTGCGAAGAGCGACGAGGGGCTTGTTCACCCACTACCCCTGTGGTTGGTGCCCTTCGCATCAGCAAGTGGCAGCAGCAGCAGCAACAGCAGAGATGAACGGCTACCACCATCACAACGAACATGCCAACCGATACCACCATCGACCGACGGGGGGGTTTGCGTCTCGTGGTGCGCCTCCACCACTAGGGTTTTCTCCGGCGTCAACTGGGCTGCCACCGCTTCAACCTGCGCCGCGACGACCATCACCACCATCAGCGCATGCGATACCTTCGACACCACCACCACCACCGCCGCCGCCGAGCGCTACCCCCCTTACGTCGATACGACACCAGCAGCCGATACACCACCACCACCAACACCACCACCACCAACACCACCACCACCAACACCACCACCACCAACACCACCACCAATCGCACCTCATCACCTCAACAACATCACCACCTTTACCCTCCCCCTCCGCCTCCTCCATCCCATCAGAAACCCGCACCCTCCTCACCTACCCAACCCCAGGCCTCCCCTCCCCCCGAATAATCCGCCCATCCCAACCCCCCGTGCGATACCCCCCCTCAACAATAAAATACAACAACTCCGACCCCCACCATCAACGACACATTGTCTCAACCCTCCAAACAACCTCCAACCTCCGAAACCTCTCCTTCTTGTTCCATCCCCCCGCCCCATCCCGACAACAACAACCGACCGATAGCAACGCCCACCTCCCCGCCCAAATCCAAACCAATCGCTGGCTCTGCTGCCAGTGCGCAGAAGAGGGCTTCGTCGACCCGGTAGGAACAGTCCACCTCGTGGGTGAAACAGAAGAGATGTACAGCACCTGCCTGTTCCGCCCATCCAGCTGCCACCACAAAAAGTGCGTAAACTGTGTTTTATACGCTGGCCCAGCCTCCAGCCGAGACCCGGTACGGGGGGTGAAATTTCTTGTTAGGACTGTTGGGGGGTTGTACACCAGTGGACGGTTTATCGACCCTGTACGCTGGGAGTGTGGGGTATGCGGGGAGTGGGACAATAACAAGATTGACGGGGGGGTGAGGATGGGAACTGGTTGTCAAGGACGGGGATGTAAAGCACAGGGATGGGGGGGTTGGGGAGGAGGGAGGAGGGGGGTTTTCACCCGGGAGAGTATTGTTCTCAATCGGTATGGACAGAGGCTGGGAACGGCGGATCAGAGGGTTGCCTTTGAGGGGGGGCCGTGGGATTGGCATAGACGGGGGTTGGGGGATGGGAGGTGTGTGTTGAGTAAAGGGGTTAGGGAGGTGCTGATGAGGAGGGGGGGTGGAGGACGGGGAAGGGAGAGGAGGGTTTGGGGGGTTGGGGAGCAGGTTCCGGGGTATGAGTATAGGAGGCCGCCGCCGTTGGATGAGGATGATGAGAAGGAGAATAGTGAGTATGAGGGCGGTTTCCTGGCCGGGTTGCCGGTTGAGGGGGGGGATAAAGGGAAGGGGAAGGAGAGGGATGGGGGGATGGAGATGGAGGGGGTGGTTTGTGGTGGGCAGGGTAATGGTATTGATAGCAGACATCATGGTGGAAGTGAAAGGCGAGAACATGGGTTTATCAGCCCATCTTCTGCTACGATGACAACGACCAGAAGCCCGGATACGGGACAGGGGCAGGGAGCAAAACCACGCTTCTTTCCGGGGCTGTCAAATATGAGGATGTAACGATTACATTGGGGGGGACTACTTGGATGTACACTGATTGTAATATGAAAGAGCATTTCACTTCTGGACAGGCCAAATCTGTGCAAGCCAAGGGTTAGGTCAGTATGAAGTGAGCAAGCCAGGGTTGGCTATGTAAATGTGAGGGACGTGTTAAGATGCCGAAAGTGCTGGCGAGTACTCGGTTCACTGGCAATCGCGTGGATGTATGAGTGAATAAAAAGAATGCCTAAAGAGGGCATTGTATGTCTGGTCCAAATTAGTGGTTGTTGGTCAAGTGAGGTCAACTTAAAGATGGATTGGCCCTTGATAAGAGGTCTCGGTACGGATAAGAATGGCGATCGGACCGGCCTGGTGGCTCGGCTCCTGATGTTAGTGGCCACCTAAGACATGGGGCCAGCACTGACCACTTGGAGGGGCAAAGAAGCTTGTTCCTTTTTTTGACGCCAAGACAGATCTGATCAAGTACGTCAGCGGAAGAAAGAGGGCGAAGATGCCCCCGCCATCGGTATCATATTAAACAAGAAAACAATCCTGATGGGACAATATTATACTTTTCATTCCGTCTGAACGTTTGGTCCGTTTGATTGTTTACTGTCCTGATATCTGTTTGAGCCCTGCGCGGCTGAGTACCGCAACACGGCACACAAAGCTGATGACGGAATATGTGGGCACGGATGGCCGGCCAGTGACTCCAGTCTCTGGGTTGGGTCGGGTTAATGCAGGGACCCTTCCTCTCTTACTGACCGCCTTCCAGGAATCTGGGAGCCTGGTCGAGTTGCATGGTTACTGGCATACTTGTCACGATAACGAGGAAGAAGCTGAGGAGGAAGCGGAATCCCGGGCTTGAGTTTGTGGTGGGTGGGCTGGGCTGGGGTCCGCTGCCGGACCTGGATCGGCTGTTGGAGCTATCCATGAGATGCCATCTAGATGGCACGATGGTCGAAAGACTTGTCGACTATCTTTCCATACGCCATCATATAAGGCATGCCTAGTGTAACCGCACGCCGACTTTTAGACGCCTGTGGTTCCCATTGACAACCTGTATATATGCCCATCTGTTGACACCTACGTCCTGTGCCATCGTGCTCAGGCACCAATGCTAGGTGGGCTGACGCTAAATATGCTATGCTTCGATCCAAAGCACCAAGGCCTGCACGCAATTGAGGCCTGCATTGGACCAAAGGGGCATATGATTCTAGCGTTTACACATACGTACTCCGGGTCGCCTTCTGATGCCGTCAGCTCGGAGATGTCTGAACGGAGAGCTTCATCGTAGGAAAGAAACCTCTTACAGTGCGCCGGACTGGCTTCATCAAACAACCTCTGGAGCTTGAGGCCAAAAGAGTCCAAGACCCGAGCCGGGGCCAAAAGTGGAGTGCCACCGGACAACCAACCAATCAAAACCCCCATTATAATATTTTTTCTCTGGCTGCTGCTCCCACCTCCTGCGACCAGCGACTCTCTCAACGTTGCCCGCATCATCACTGGCAACAGCAAACCGCTTCGACCACCATCCTCCACGTTCGCTGCCGCTCTCCGCAGCAATCGCATGGTATGCCCCTTTCTCATCCTCTCTACCGCCCCCCCCCCCCCCTCTCTCTCTCTCTGTGTGTGTGTGTGTGAACCCTCACCTGACATGGCAAACAGAGAGCCAGGCAGCGTGTTGCACCCAACTCAAACCCCAGGTACTATCTTTGATGGCTGCCAAGTAATCAGGCCTTCCTGACCTTCGCCGTCGTCCGACTTGAAGCTCCACCACCTACCGCCTACCAACCACGTCCTCGCCAGAATCCTTCGGCGTTCACCTCCTCCACGGCAGCGACTCACCGTAGCGATCTCAGAATACAACCCGCCGCCCATAATGGCGCCTTCCAATGGCACTGCTGAGAAGCCTTCTACCCGGAAAGCTTCTTCCCACGTTGTTCCCGTTGTCCCTGTTCTCCCTCTCAGCTATGTGAAGCGGCTCCCGAATCAGCCAGCCACACCTTCCCCGTCTACCCAAAAGGTTGACGAGCCTTCTACCCGACCTGCCAGCCCCGAGAAGAAGAATCCCGGCGATCATGAGGCTACCACACCGTCCGCTGCCACCATTCACGTCGCTACGTCTACATCATCTACTACCGCATCGAATAGCAATACTCCAGGTACGTGTATCTTTTTCTGATTGACGCTATCGACTGTTATAAGCGAAATGGTTCCCCTTCCCCAAAAGAATGGTGTCCACGGCCGTCCTCCATTGGCTTGTTGACTTGCAGCGTGTGGGTTTTGGTCTACGGCGTGTCTGCCTCCTACCCCACAAGCGAAATCTTGCGACAATGACCTCTTTTACTCCAGTTGCACTATAGAATAGTGAGCTATGCTAACCCAGAGTGCGCACAGATTCTTCCACCATCTGTTCCGAGCCTACAGAGCAACCGTTTGTATCGGGTGCCCCTCCTCCTTCCAGTCATCACAACCCCGCATTTGAGCAGCCGGCGAGAACACCAGCCCCTGAGCTTCCTCTCCCCGCCCCACACCCGGCCATTGCGAATCCGCCAGTTTTCCACCATCCTCGCCCCAGTAACGGAAGCTTGGTGTTTGCTCATCACGAGTCTAACGCCTCCTCCCCTGTCCCTCATTCGGGTGGCTACGGTTTCCCCCCTCCTGGAATCGTGCCATACCCACCGTCTGCCGCTCTCCCAGTCACCGCTGTTGACGCCTACGGCCGTCCCTTGTTGGTATCACCGACAGTAGATTCTTATCCGCCGACTGTCATAAAGCATCACGGGCCACCTACTCCCCATAGCTACCACGGCTCACAATCTTCCCAAATTGGAGATCACATCTACAACCAGCATTCGACCATGAGCGGCACTCATCCAATCATGAACGGCACTCATCCAACCATGAACGGCACTCATCCAACCATGAACGGCACTCATCCCACTATGAGCGGCACTCATCCGACCATGAGCGGCGCTGGCCCGGTCAACGGCGGCCAGGGAGGAATTCGTGGTCCTCAGCCTACCACCAATGGTGTTCAACCCACAATCAACGGCTCTGGACCCTATCATCCTACCGGGGGTATGAGCCCCGAGGCCGCGGCTGCATTAGCACACCATATGAACTCGATGTCGCCTTACATTAGGGCTGCGCTGGGCGACAACTCGTACAGTGATTGTACCTCTAGACGTGAATGTCCCAGTCAGCCACATCTTCCAGGATCACCCCGACTGCAGCCGACTGAACACTGCCATTCGAACGCCAGCGCATCGGCTTATGCTTGGTCGCAGTCCAATGCTTGCTGAGAAGATTGGAGAGGATGGTGTCCAGGCCGGCGGTGTCTTGAAATTAGAGGTTCGTGATGAATGGATTCGGCCGGACGTGTTTTGGCATTGCCTCCGTGCGCTATATGGTTGGGATATTGCGGCCGGCAACCTACCGAGCCAATTACGCCACTGGAGTGCCAAAGACGAGCTCAAAACCGCCCTTAGCTACTGGGCTGCCGGTCAGATGTTGCTGTGTCCTCGGATTCGGGCTATCGCTTCGGACTGCGCAAGGAGATTGCTTGGGTGGGAGACGATCAGTATCGCCGCTTGGTTCGTTTCGCACAACATGGCTCTGGGACCCAGCTTGACCCACGATGTGTTCCTCGACAGCACTCTGAACTGGATAATCTATCATCTTCCCCAGAGCTTTGATGTGGACGAGAACGCGGGAGACTGTGGGTTTTCTCGGCTCCCTCGTGCCAACCAGTCGGCGTCTTACAGACCAAATCCGCCTAATGCACACGTGTCGTCGCGTGTTGCTGCCAACCCGAGGCTGTCTAAGATCCGGTTCGGAGATCTGGCAGAAGAAGGATTTGACGTCGATCAGCTCTATCCCGGCAGTCCATTCACACCCGCTCAGGTCAATGGTCTCTTTTCTAGGATATTGCTGAACCTTCCATTTGACCTGCTCAAGCATGTCCTGGAGCACCCCAATCTCTGCTCCAACGCCGGGCCTCTTCCGCCGGGACCTCGTTTGCGGATTATTGATGCGGTTCGGGCGGCGCGGGAGAAGCGACGATGGGAGTTATTGGAAAGCACCGACATGCAAGTGCGTGTCTATCAAGAGCGGATCGCGTCTCAGCCGGAGCCTGTTCCTGTGGTTAATTTGGCCGACTTTTGGCACAATAGCTTGGGCTTCAAGGAAGAGACTTTTATCGGTGACGTGCCATTCCTTATTCGCACCTGGAGTCTTGGTCCTGAAGGTAGCGACGTCTAGTAGTCTGGCGGTGAACAACACCAAGGCGACACCGTTTTACGATATTATGATGGTGGGCGGGATACGGTCCTCTTTTTCGAGTTTACAAGCAACAAACTCGGCATCATTGGGTGATCCACGTGTTCATATTGACACTTGGGAACTGCATTGCGTTTGGCGTTATATGGTTTACACAAAATTTGGGCATATGTTTTGCCCGGCTGGTTAGAAGGCAGAAGGTGCAGCTTATGAACGGGTCTTTTGCCTCTCGTCTTTTGCTCACGGCATCTTGGCACGGCCTTTTCCCTGACTTGGAGGGTCTGGCATCAAGATCTGGGGTTATCGGAATCGGGATTGCTATGCTGGTTCGATACTGCCACCAGATGTCCCTGGACGATGTCCAGCGGTTTCGGAGTCTTTCTTTCGATGAAAACATGTAAACAGTAGAAAAGGCCTGAGCTGGAGAGAGGCAGTCGGTTGTCATCACCTGGCGGTCTCTCTCTCTCTCTCTCTGATCACTTTTAATGTCTTTTGTTTTTTTTTCAGCGTGGCATTATGGAGTCATGGTCGATGGGTTAGTGGGAGTAGGGGTTCAAGATATTCGCCTTGGAGGAAGATTGGGGGGTGGGTATTCCAGGAATCTGAAAAAGAGTTGGGCTGGTCGGTCGGGGTCACGAAACATGAATATGGACAGACTGGGCTGGCGAGCAACACAGTTTGCTTCAGGTAGCTCTTTGACGTAGTTGGGACTTTTTCTGTATTTCATCTTGCAGCGTAAAAATGGAGTTTGGCGGGACGTGACAACTCGGGAGCATTTGAGTCCGTAAACAAAATCCGGTCCGTCTGTGGTGACATGTGCTTCGGGCAATGACAGCAAAAAAAGGGGAGGCATTGGATGACGGCATTGAGCCCCAAGATTTTGAAAGTGGGGAATGGGACTCGAGCAGAGTGTGGGGCAGACCCCTGTCTTCTGGCCCGTGCATTAATGCCAAGTGGGTTTCGTGCATGGGGAACAGGAAGACCTCGGCTTTTTTGGCACGTGTAAAGGAGGAGTTCCCCGTAGCTCGTAGATCTTGATGGAGACTCTCCATTGTCCCCCCTCTTTCATCATCAACGACAGCTGTGTTGGGCTTTTCAGATTACCGCGATACGTCTGCCAACCGATTGAGAAGTTGTTTTTATTTGAGTTTTGACTCTTTGCTGGCTGTCTTGTTTATTTGTTATCAGCCTTTCCGCGCGGAACAAAAGACGCGCCCCGCGCCGCGCGCCGAGTTAAAATTACAGCTGACACTTGACTGAGGTCTGGTACCTGACGGGCTGGGCTGGTCTGACGTGCATATACCTACCTACCTACCTACCTACCTACCTACCGCCCACATATCCATTCATCTTCAGCGTACTGTTTTCCGGATCAACCGAGAACCTACACCCGAACTTGAACGTCTAATTCTCAACATATCACGGCGTTTTTGCTTTGCAATACTTTTTCATATCGACCCGACAACTGAATTTGCAAGATCGTCACAATGGCGGCCTCGCCCTCGAGCGCCGCCGGTGCCACGACGGCAAACAGCTCGCCGTCCTCCGACCCCATCCTCCGCAACGCGCTCCGATACACCATCTCCGCTCGCGAATACGCCCTCTTGCACAAATATGTCATTTCGAAATCCCGAGCGCTGAAGCGGCGAGCGCCGACGGTGGAGAAGGTGAGGAATATGATGGATGGGCCTCAGCAAATGCCACAGCAGCAGGGGAGGACGGGGTCTATTGGTGGGCAGGGGGATAAGAGACAGGGATCGATCAAAGGGATGGATGTCGCTCCGCCGACAGCACAAGGGGCGGATGATTACAATGCAAAGGCCATCAGGCATTCCATCAGGGTGTTTATGGCCACCGGGGCGGTGATGAAGCTTTGGGGGTTGGCGCAGACGAGGTTGTTGGGGAAGAAGGGGGATGGGGGAGGGAAGGATAAGCAGGGGAGGTTGCACAATAGTCCTACTCTGAGGTTGGGGTTGAGTTTGAGCACGATTTTGTTTCTGTATAGGGTGTTGTTTAGGTTTTTTACGAGGTTGAGGGTGCAGCTGCTGGAGCCGAGTGCTGCGCCGTTTAGGAAGCGGAATCCGAAGACGGCGAGCACGCTGACGAGTCCGTACGCGCCGGCTGTTGGGGCGAGTTTGGCGGGGTTGGCGTTGGGGGTTTATCCGGCGGAGCAGTTGAGGGTGACGATTGCTTTGTTTTTGGGGTTTAAGGCTGTGGAGTGGGGGTGGAATTGCGCAGAGGAGAATGGGATGGTTTGGGGGTGGGAGAAGACGGGGTTGGGCGGGAAGGGGAAGATGAGGGAGAGGCCTTGGTGGTGGGGGAGTTGGATGTTGCAGCCGTTGGCGTTTGGGCAGTTGTTGCATGCGGCGGTGTTTGATAGGGAGTGTTTCCCGAATGGGTTCGGGAATGTGGTGGAGAGATTTTCGTTGACGTATTTGCATCCCAAGCCAGAGGATTTCCCGGCGGGAATGCAGTGGCCTACAACTGAGGTGGTGGTGGACGGGATTGCGAGGATGGCGAAGTTGAGCTGGCCGTAAGCTTTGCATTCTAGATATGGTGAAGACATGGTGCTGACACGTTTTCAGGGCGTTTATCTCGCCAACCCTCTTCCCAGGCAAAGAGGACACCCTCCCCCCTGGGCTCTCCGCCATCGCGCCTCTGACCTCGGGCGCCCATCCCCTTATCACGTCGCTTTCTTGTGCGACACTTCACCCCTCCGACCCATCTTGCACACGCACATTCCTCACCTTCTGGCTCCGCTCCTTCCCACCACTCACCCGCATCCTTTTGCTGGTCTACTCTGTCCTGATGCTCCCCAAGATGAAGTCCTTTTATCACTTCCCCGTCTCCACCATCCAGACCCTTGTGTCCAACGCTCTCCGGATGTCGACCTTCCTCACCGGCGCCGTTGCCACCGCCTGGTCAAGCATCTGCTTCTTCCAGAGCTGGTTCCCACGGACTTTCCTGCCCACTCAACGGATGTTCCTCGGTGGGTTCCTGGCTGGTCTCTGGGCGATTATCGAGCAGGGGAGACAAGGAAGCAGACAGATCTTCTTGTATAGCGCCAAGGCTAGTGTCGAAAGCTTCTGGAAGGTGGGAGTGAAGAGGAGGTGGTGGAGGGCGATGAAGGGGGGTGATGTGTGGGTTTTTGTTGCGGCGTTGATGCTCACTGGTGTTGTGTATGAGAGGGATGCGAGGGCGATTAAAGAGGGGAGCTGGAGGAAGGGGATCAGCTGGGTTAGGGGAGAGGGGTTGAGGGATTGGGGGGTTGAGGTTGAGGAGGGGGAGGAGGATGAGGAACGGGAGAAAGAGGAGTGAGGGGGTGGTGCTGATGGAAAGGGGCGGGTGTTGATTGATAGTATATAGACAGGGTAAGGGGTTGTTTGGGACCTTTTGGTGGGACCGCGTTGTCATTTTGATAGAGTGGTCTTGTGATGAGATCTATGATGTATGAATGATTTATTTTTGGGACTTGGTTTTTACAGTCTTGCTCCGCGTCAGGTTGGACCGTCTTTTTTGCATTTAGGTGAAGTGACCGTTTGGATAGGTAGGAGATAATCTTGGAGTGCTCTGTCACACTTCTGATGTCTGAAAGCGAGTACCTGCCAATGCAAATAGCATATTTTGATTTGGGGTATCGGTGGAAGATATTTTTTCGTGGTGGTGTAAGTTTGTCTAATACCTGTCAACTATCTTTTGAGGTGTGTTGGTTATCTTTTGAGGCATATCTAGTAGGCGAATTGTCAAGCCGAGACTGAGAGAATGTCGGGATGCTTTCATTTTCGAGTCATTTTGGACTTTTCCTGTGCATGAGCTACAGTGCACACTGTAGCTCATGCAAGATAGCTTGCAACAATCACGCCCTCATACATTCTAATACTACCTCCCATCCCAAGGATGATCCAGAACAACCACGTCGTGGACCAAAGATGGAGTTGCAATTTAAAAAGATAAAACAGGTTTGTCTTCGACTCTCCCTTTGAGACCTCAACTAAAGTAACAATCTCCATTTGTTTTGATCCATAACTCAAAACCTCCCCCATGTTTCCCCGTGACAGATAGCTTCAACAGTGCCTGTCTATACAATAAAACCTCAAGTAGCGCATTGGAAAGCCCAGAACCTTTGCTTTTCTTGACAGTCCCGTATTGAATGGGTAAAACCATTGGTGGGATTGGGTAGAGGTGCATAGAAGTGGTTGTGTGAATGTTTGTGCAGATGTTCTGCTTTGGGTCTGGTGATCCAATCAAAGATATTGCCGACCCTTCCTGTTCTGTCCCGACCCGATGTCAGTGGGAAAGGGGTCAGGGGGGGTGTGTGCCAGAAAGTTTGCCTGGCCCCTCTTTCTTACCATATAATCCCGACATCAAATGTACCTACCTCGCCAAGTATCTGGAAGATCGAAACCTCGCATATTCAGTGTCCAAAGCCAATGTCTGGTGCGTGCTTGACAGTCACCACCTTCTCAGGACTGCCATTCACGTATAGCTCCCGACCCTAGCCGACTTTCTTCCCAAGCAACTTCATCATTCAGACGCTCAGGATGGAAGCTCCAGGCATGTTTGGGGTCAAGGTCTTTCGGCATGCTGGAGAGCCTTGGAGGCAGCCCTCGAAAAGGGATACCTGGCCTGAAGACATGAATTCGGGGTTGCAATTATTTGTGCCCTCCCCTGTTGAGGCAACAGCTGTCACTGCAACATTTGATATCACCTTGCCCTCTACCGTTGCTTGGAGGCAAAAGTCGGCCGCAGGAACAGGAACAGCTACTTGGAGATGTGGCCATCAGCGACGGGATACTGCAGCATGACTTGGGGAGAAAGCTTGTCGGTCGGTTCGTGCCGGAGACGAAGCTCCTGGAACCAGGCGTGGAAATACGGGGAGTACTGGTGAAGTTGCGGACAGAACAGGCATGGGAGCTGCTGCAGACAGATGTTGCCAGCAATCTTGAGGTCTTGAAAGGGAAAATCTGGTCTTCTGGTTATCCTGGTACGCGTTGGGATTCTCTTTTCAGATCGGACTACCTGCACAAGAATCGCGGTGAAGAGAAATGTGAAGAGTGTGCAGGTGATGATGGAGTCTGTATGCGGTCGATTGAGATGACTTGTCAACAGCTCGGCTGCAATGAAACCGAGACTGTGATTCGCCGAAGGTTGGATTATCAGAGTGGCTCTATCATTCACATTGGACGCGTAGGTTCTGGGGACACGGTGATGAGGTTGGGAAAGGATCGTGATGAGATTGTGGAGCGAGATGGCATCATTGCATTTGAGATGGAAGGTGCTGGGGTGTGGGAGACCTTTCCCAACTGCTTGGTCATCAAAGGCATCTGTGACTACGCGCATCGTCACAAGAACAAACAATCTCAGGGATATGCAGCTGCGACCGCAACCGCCGTCGCAAAGTCGTTTTTGAGAGTCTGGGACACATGTGAACATCAACATTCACCTCCAAAAAAGAGTTCGTAGCTGATGAATTCTCTAGGCATTCAAGAGGTCCCAAGAGATTTAGAGCCTCGGGAAGTCGAGAAAAGCGGGCAATTTCCCGGCTGAGGCTCACGGCCTGTTGGACGTGCTGTTTACAACACCATATCTAGACCGCAAGAATCGTAATCCCGATGTGGTCCAGGGTACCTGTGAGTGGTTTATCCAGCATTAATTATCTTGCCAGTGGGAAAGGGGGGCGTTTCGAACACTCTGGGTATCAGCGGACCCTGGGTGTGGGAAATCAGTCCTGGCCAAACATCTGGTGGAGGATGTCATTCCAACCACCACGGCTCGAAAAACCTGTTACTTTCTTTTCAAAGACGATGTTGAGGATCAAAAGACAATGAACAGCGCGCTGAGTTGTGTATTACATCAGCTCTACTTAGTATTGTCGAACCCAGATTGCCTCCCGGCCGCCACTAAAAGCAAACTGTAAACAGATCCTGAGGGCTTCAAGAGCTCATGCGCCTGAACAAAACCGGAGCATGCCCGATTTAAGCTTCATTCTGACTAGTCGACCGCTTCAGGCCATTCGACGGGAGTTCCAGCTCAGGGACAGCCCGGGTTCCTCTGTAATCCACCTACGTGGTGAAAGTCAGGAGGAGATCCAGAAGATATCAGACGAGATCAACATCTTCATTCGAGCCAGAGTGCAAAGTATCGCTTCACTCTTTGGACCTCGAAGACAATGAGAAATACTTCCTTCTGAACCGGCTCCTCAGTGTCCCGCATCGGACTTACCTTTGGGCGCACTTGATACTCGACTTGATCGAAAAGGCGGCCGATATAGACAAAGTCGGAGATGGATGAAGCCTTGCTGCAAACGGTCAGTGCGATTTGCTACAGGTCCAGAATAACTATCCAGTATGGTACGAAGCTTATTGCTGGTCTAAATCCTCTCCTGGCGCGTTGACAGTGGCCGTCAATACCGGGCTTCTTCAACTGGTGGAGATGATGTTGAAGTCAAGAGACGCCCATGGTAATGACTCTCTCAACGAGGGAACTGGCTAGCTTTAGCAGAACAAAATGGGACAAACACCTGTTTATGGAACAGCTTCTAATCTTTGTGTTGGTGAGGAAGAGGCCCTCCACTTCGAGTAAATCAAGTTACTCCTTGAAGCTGGCGCCGAGCTTTATAACATCGGCGAGCATGGTAGCACTCTGGTATGTTCTTTTTTTTAGCTTCGCTTATTTCCCCTCTTGTCTGCCAGATTGCGTCTCTGACACGTCCATGATTGGCAACAGCTTCATGTTGTCGCCCGCTACTGCCTCAGGGTGCAACCGGAGCCGGTAAAGTTGGTGTTGAACACCGGTGTAGATGTCAACCATCGACGCGAAGACGGAATTACAGCGGTACTCCTCACCTACAACCGGAGATGATACGACTATTGGCCGAACACGGTGCCAAAGTGGACGGAATTCTGCAGCATACTAGCGGACCTTTCGGCAACGAATCGGTTCTGTCTCGCCTATTGCAACTAGGATCGCTTATACCGGAGTAGAGACTGTATGTACTGGAAGCTTTGCTCGATGCTGGTGCCCCCGTCGATGAACGGAATGGTGATTCGCTTACACCACTTTTGCGAATCGCAATTCATGTTTCCGGGTTGAGTTCAAAGTTGGCAAGGCTACTTACTGGTCGAGAGAGGGGCAGATGTCAATACAGTAGATGCAAACCGAAGATCGGTACTCTCGTGGGCTGTTTCAGGATCTTGTAGTTGCAACTACCCGCTGCACGAGTTTCTCGTCGGTAGGGGTGCAATCAAATCCTATTTGTGCACCCCCCTTTCACTTCCTGTGCATCCCCATATATGACCCTGTCCATTTGCCCAGGGCTAGAAGCTACCACTATCACCACCACCACCACCACTACCACATCAAAAGTACAATGCAAACACCACGATCCACAAGCATGTTACTAGGTATTTATAACGATACCAGACTTACTTGAAGATTCCCATATAGACTGTAGTATAGCAAGTTATCAACCACCATCTACACATTCCTCTCGCAAATTAATGTAGACCCTGAAATCTAGGTACCACACAAGTATCAACATTGACCGACTACTCTTCGTCCTCCTTCAAAACCTCATGCCACATCCCCTCTACCGTGTGTACGAACCCGTCCCGGCCCTGAAAGTAACTCATGTTCTTCTCAAAGTGACAGTCTTCCATCCCCTCATCATCTTCCAGTTCCCGTCCGGCTTCCCCAGGTGGAAAGCAAAAGTCAGGTGCGCAAACCCCATGTACCACCTTACCGCTAGCGGGGAACTGTCCACGTCTAACTGGCCCAAACCTTGAGGGAGGGGGCTGAAACATGTCTATGGCCTCCTCGAATGAGCCACTCTGACCCGGCGGTGGGCTTCCATCCACGGGTCTGAAATGGAACATGTTATCAAACGCCAAATTGACCACTTCCTCATGCGAAAATTCCTTCAACCAAGGAATAACCTTGATAAATGCCCACCGTTCTTCTTTGTTGTGTTGAATCGATGTGGGAGGGTCATTGTCAAAAACCACTACACAGTGTTGTCTGAAATGGTCTGAGGCATGGCCGTCAAAAAAGTGGGATACCGCCGCGGGAAGACGCAGGTTCGATTGGAGGTTGGGATTTGGTAGGTAGGCTGCATCTTCTGGAGATATAGTGGATGACCGTGGGCTTGTAATCAGATGGCTGGACGAGGGGTCATACTGCCATTCCCAAGTCCGACAGATGCCGTTGATGTCGACATCGTCAGGGTGCAGGCGGGATGTCCGGGTTTCTTCACGGTGGCCCCCGATGGCTGCTTGAAACCCGGCGTTTTCCCACTTGATAAGGGCAAGTGTCTGTTCGATGGTCGTCCTGCAGACACGGTACCGTCCCTGTGTAGTCAGGAAGTCCATCACCTTGACAAGTGAGGAGAGCTCGGGGTAACATCTTGAACGAAGGCCCTCGAAAGTGGACAGATACATGCCTGTGGTAGGATAGTCTGGAGGTTCAACGATGACCAAAAGGAGGGGTTCCCGGAGAGTATGGAACTGCAATGACTTCATGAACGTGACTGCAATCCTGGTGATATGCAGAGTGTCAATGTATGGGTTGATCCAGCCTTGAAAAAGTCTTGGGAAGCCAAGATCGCCACTGTATAGGTACGAGAATGCCTGATAATATCTCAAAGTCTCCTTCCGTGCTTCAATGTTGATGCTGAGGGTAACGGGTGATTCTCCTCCGTACCTGCGATCGGTTGCCCTTCTCGACCCGTGTGGGTCGAAGCCGACCGATGCTGGTTTCCATATAGAACGATAAATCATGAGCCAAATCTCAACAGGGAGGCAGTTCAGGCCTCTTGGTTCCGAACTTCTTGATGCCATGATATGAGTGCAACCAGCCGACAAGTTGGAAAAATTGACTTTTTGAAGGAGGTGCAGACAGGTGAGTTGTCTTGGCTGAAGCTTGGTGAAGGGCAACGCGGTGGGTCGACCTCTCTTTTGAAGTTCGACAAAGTAAAGCAGACAGACAAGCAATTTGCGTATTATTGACGCAAGAATAGGGAGAAGGTAGCAAATACAAGACAACATTGCAATCGTTCAAGTGTTTGCGATAACGTGGTATGGTCTGTGAATTCTGAAAGCTTGGCCTCTCCAAGATTGAGACCTGGAAGTTCTGGATCTGCATTGTAATCTGTATTTTGACGTGATAAACAGTTTCAAAATCTTCACCCTTCTGTAAAGATATTTATGTTCCAGTCTTGATCACTCACCGCAAAACAACACCGTTATTGGGTAAGTCATAGCGGCAACGCTTAGCTGGTACAGGTATTCTTTCTTGGGCACAGTGTATGCAGATACCTCAGAGTAAGAAGGGTATTCTCAGTGTGGTGAATCTTTGATACCGGGTCAACAGAGATAGTATGGCCTAAGAATCTGCTGCTCCCGAGGTCGGTAGGCGAGAACAGTTGTCGTAATAAATTGCATAGACATCTTGCCTTCTGGAATTCGGGTTCCACAACGGTTGAGCTCCCTGCAGCAATGTCTCCTGAGCTACACCAATCCCTGGTGGGCCGCTCTTCCTCCCCGTAGATGTAGTGGACGCAGTCGTAGACGTCTTGAAGCTCCGATATCCAGCACTCAGAAACACGCTCCGAGACACACCACCATTACCACCATCAGTGCCCACAACACCACCCCCAAATCTATCAATCGAAGCGGTCGTGACACCCTCCCCAAACTCCGTCCATGTCTGACTCCGTGTCGGCAGCCACTGATACACCGAAGTGGAAGAGCACATCGGAGCGAAAAAGTGGAATTCGCAGATTATCAACCTCATGCACCCGGGTGTTATTCGACTGCAGGAGGGACTCTTGGCGCAGCACTCTCTGTAGTCCTCACAGATGGTGGCTTTTCTTGGCCATTTCACCTGATCTGTGTAGATGGTGCATCGCAACCAGGCAGCATCGGGGTCGATACCTCTCCAGTCTCCTCTCCAAGAGCATGTCTCTGCGCAGGTGTAGCTCGAGTTTGCCACACAGTCACGAGGACGATACACGCCGTACGGATTCCCGGGAAAGTTGGGTTGCCTCTGCGTCTGGGTAGCTGGAGTGGCCGTTGTTGTGGTCAAGGTGGCAAGGGCGCTGGGCAGAATTAGTGCCAGAACAATCGCCGCGTACGCGGCATGACGGGTGATAGCGAGCATTTCTGCAGGTCTTTCGGATAGATGCGATGACGATACCGCAGTCCCAGAAAAGGCCGATGTGTAAGGTTAACACGGAGGTAAGTGTTAATGGGACCTGACAGAGAGGGTTTGCGGCGTATGAACACAGCTAATAAGGCGTACCAGGGTCATGTTTATACGTATATACTTAGGTCTCGTGATTGCCTCTAGAATTTAGAGCGCCTGCCTGGCCTAGTGGGCATAATCATACCTACCCAATCTTGGTTAAGAGGCTACCTGTGGTGCAACCATCGCCTAAGTAGGTATGTAGGCCTGTCACCAAGGTCACCCATCCCCCCATAGGTTGATCTTGACAGATAAAAGCAATGGGGTCGTTACAACGCGGTCCCGACACGGAATGTCAATATGCCTTGTCGTAATTAAAACATGCCGGTAGATCGAAAAGCTGGGAAGAAACCACGACTGTGGGTGGCGTGCTTATCAGGTTTGACGATCTGGGGTGCTGCGTCTCGTACATATCTCGACCAATGCCAGTGGCCCGTGGTTGTATCGAGATACCGGCCTGTTATCTCTTTCCGAACACTATAGCCGTCTGTGGGACAGCTGGGTCAAACATCCGGCGACCAAGCTCCACACTCACAAGCATTGCAGCTGCAATATAAATTGATTGGGGCTGGATCCAGGATACTAAGTGCGCCTTGTGAGGCAGTTCGAGGCCACTTTAGTTACCCGCACTCGAGTATGCTTGACGCCAAGTTTATGTGATTCGAGATATGTGATGCATAAAGAGACCAACGGCTTTCAGGTTTTAAATCCACCTCTGCAGGGATGCTCAACTCGTGTGTTGATTTCGCCATATTGGCATTCTAAACCTGCTCCTGCCGGATATTCAATAAAGACCGACAAATCATGGAAACCGCAGAATTTCAGGCCCAGGCTTCCCCGGAATTATCTCCATCCCAAGAATCCATGGGGACATCCCTCGATGAGAAGAAGACGGGCACTGTTACTCATCAGCCCGCCAGTCAGGATCATCTCGGTGCAGAGGACCAATTCACCGGTTGCCCACCAAGACCTCGAGGTGAACTCGTAAAAGTCTGGATATTTGAGCTTCTCTGTCTAGTGGTCAGTCTTGGATCTCTCTTCAGTGGGTACAACTCCAGAATGGTCACAGTGCAAATGCTTACAACATACCCCCAGTCATCATCAGTGTCCTGAAGACATATGACAATCACCCACTTCCCAAGCTTTCATTCCACATCACCCTCAACACCTTTCTTGCCTTCTTCACCACCCTAGCTAAAGCAGCTTTCATGAGCCCCGTGGTGGAGTGTATCAGCCAGTGGAAGTGGAATTGGTTCGATCAAGAGCATCCCATAACCGATTTCGATGTTTTTGATAAGGCGAGTCGTGGCGTCTTCGGGTCGGTCTTGCTGCTGAGGTTGCTCAAAGGAAGACAGTTAGCTGTGGTTGGTGCGGTGATATCCATTGTGGGCATTGTCACAACGCCTGTCACCCAGCTTCTCATCGAGTATCCAAGTCGTTTGGTATCTCTACCCCCAGGCCCGGACACCCCAAACGCTACCATTCCGGCTGTCCAGAACTATCGCAGCCGTGTTGGTCTGGCTGGGCCACGATCGCTCGACATCACCAGCTTTGTTTCGGCCGGCCTTGTGCATCCGTCAGGTTCACTGATCAGTGAGGTGGTTCCGGTATGCCCCAGCGGAACCTGTGAATTCCCTGAATTTGAAAGCTTGTCGCTTTGTTCCAAGGTAGCCAACATTACGGATCGAATACGGGTCGGGCAAGTCCCCTTTTCTACCTCCCGTGACTGGACAACTTGGGATAATACGATTGACAAGAACCCCCTCCTGCTTAACGGAACCCTGGCCTACAATGTGTCCTTCCTTGATGAGGAAGACGAGTACTTCGTTGCCCCAGTGTCCTTCACATTGTACAGCTCGCGTCTCGTTCGATCTATTGCCTTCGCCGAAGATAAGACCCTTGCCGCTGCATGGGTGGCCGGATACAAGGTTGTGTGGTCTAACGCCGGCAACGTCACATACACTCACGGCAACTCAACAAGCTCGAACCCTTGGAACTGGCAGGCCTTCGAGATGGTTTACTACGCCTGCGTCAACAGATACTCGGTCCGTGTTGACAATGGAACTGCACGCACAGTGACTCTGTCGTCGCATGACGTGGTTGGGCCTTCAGACCACGGTGTGATAGCAATCAACTGTACGACACCAAGACTGGTCAGTGGAGGGGCACAGAAGACACAGTGTCAGCAGGACGGGAGAAACCCCAACCAAGGGGTGCTCACACTCAAGGGCAGCCTTCCGACAGCTCAGGGTTCAAACTTTACCGCAGATGTGCGGAGTTTGACACTCCTGGGCCAGGCCATCACCCATGATTCAGCTGGTATCTGGGCCTGGGATGGTGGTGCGGTGAAGATTCTGGTGGGAAATGTCGCAACCCCAACGCTTGCTGATGCCGTATACGGATACAGAACCGATGACTTTGGAACAGTCGAAAACCGGTTGCAGACCTGGGATACCGAAATCCAACGACAGAGGCTGCAAAATGTGGCCACCAATTTGGCGGTAAGCATAACCAATGGGTAAGTGACGAGCCTCCTCTGTTCCTTCAGACAGATAGCCTGTTGAGGTATCAAACTGGTTGACAAAGCTTTTCCAGCCTTCGCTCTATCAGATCTGATATCAATTCGACCGATGGGGCGGATAATGCTTTCCCGGTGGTTGGCACTGTCCTTGAGATGCAAACATTTGTGCAGGTGCGCTGGGTGTGGTTGACCCTCATCGTTTTGCAGCTTGGCCTCGCTCTGATATTCTTCATCATGACCGTGATTGCGACTCGTCGTCTTGGTGCTCAAGTTCGCAAGAGCTCGGCGCTTGAGACATTGTATGCGCTTCACCCCAATGGCGGGCTTGGAAACGAGGGGACAAAAGCTCAGATGGTTCGACAACACGGCAATATGGTATTGTTGCTGTCGTCTGCTGATCCGCCCCAGCAAGTTGCAGCGAGACAAAATTCGCAACCGAAACAGAGAAAGACTGATGACAATTTGAGCTCACATGGGTAGCGGGGCGAATGGAGCCTGATGTCGAAATCAGAAGGAAGGAGCAGGCGGGGACACACTATCCTGTTTAATTGGAAGCCTAAGGTACTTAGCTGCTAGGTAGTTACCTACTAGGTAGCTACCTTAGAGAGACGGTTGGCCTGAAGCATAAGGTATCTTATCTAATAACACGAATATATATGTTATCCTTGCCAGTTCCGTCCTGACACCTGACAAAATGTCCAATGACCACCGGTCAGTGGCGCTTCTTTTTTTCCGCCGGCTGGCCTGCATTCCGTTTGCAACACTCGACCCCGCCCAGGGCCCTTCGTAGAACAAACAGATCGCATCACGTCCCCGAGAGCCCATCGTCGTTCTACTTCATCTTGGGCACTGAGGAGACTGGCTTCTCTACTATCCTGGCGACCGGCTCATTTCACAAGAGGAGATTGCCAAGGTTTCCGACATCATGGAAAAGCACTCAATCGGGCCGGAGAATACTCGAATCCGGAAGCTGGTTGAGGATGGCAACCCAATAACCTGTTGCACCCTTCACGTAGTCTTATATGTCACCTACCTCAACATCGGGGTTGATGGCCCCTCCAAGCTCTTGAGACATTGCCCAAAAACCAGGCTTGGGGCCAGGCCCACCACCGGGTACCTAGCTATACACACCTTGATCCCCGGGAACCCCCCTACAAATCTAACTCGTATTTCGTAGGCCCACTTGTCCATCCTCAAGCACATGCTTCAAGATGGAGGCGGCGTCATCCGCATCTCCCACAACACGGAGGAGGACTCAACCGTCACCATCCACCTCGACCTCACCAAGTTCGCCTCGCACGGTAAACCCGCTCCGGGCCGCTACCTCTTGCACTTGCATATCTGGCGCTGCGCTCCAAATTTCTCAGCTCGCAAGGACTTATACGAGCCTCTTTGTGCCGTCGAGGGTGAGTTCGAAACCGAGACCCAGATGGAAGTTTGTCCAGCCCAACAGGTTCCTTCGGGGCGAGGACGAGGTCGAGATGAAGTTGTATGAGGCCAGCAACAGGGGGTGGATCCAGTCCTGGGCCGAGATGGATGTGTGAGGTGTGAGATGTAACGAGCTGTCGGCTTTGCGAGAAAAAACCCTTATTAACCACCTAGAATCTAGATAATGATTAGATTTGAGCTTGCGTAGTCAACGGCGAGAATCAATGACATGTCAAACAGAGAGAAATATCAAAGAAGAAGCCCTCAGTATATCTACCCAACCTCTAAACCTCTACTCTATCCCTATGCCTCGCCCTCCCACAATCACGTCTCTCCACAACCCTATCAACCCCAACCGCAAACCTCCCATCCTCCTTCAAAATATCCCCCACCAACCCTTTAAACTCCCCACCCAAAGCCTCAACCACCACCTTGACATCCGGAGCCCTCGGCGCCTCCTCCTCCGCCATCCTCACCAACTTCGCTGGATCCAGCCCTCCCTCTTTCATCACCCCTGTTTTCCCCATCGCCAACTGCCCTTTGACATCCCTCCCACTCCTCAACTTCCCATCCAACGTCGCGGGTCCAATAACCGTATCATCTAACAATTGCTGCCATCTCGAGAGAAACATCCCCGGTCCGGCATAAGACTGTTTCAACGGCATTGTGTTCCCTGTTGTTGTTGTTGTTGTTGTTGTTGTTGTTGTTGTTGTTGTTGTTGTGGGTGGCGGGCTTGGTTTCCGGGAATCACCACCGCCGCCTGACCACCCCCAAGACAGCGGCGTTGGCCACCCACTGTTGCTCAAGGAAGAAGCCGGTCGCGGAGAAGAAGGTGGGGTGTCCGGTGGTAAATTATCCAAGATTGTCTGCATCCGTTTTCTCGAAAGATCCTCCAAAGAAGAGAGATATGACGCATGCGCGTTGATGCTGGGAAGGATGCGTTCTCTTGTCCAAGAAGGCAGGGAGCTAAAGAGGTGCTGGAGGTTACTACTCACTGCGCCTGCACCTCCAGGACGTTTCCTTGATTTTGACGAGTCTGGTGACTTTGTTGATTTCTCATGTTCTGATGGCGGTCGCTGGTGCTGCTGAAACACTTTGATAGTGCTGTTACACCATACTCGAAAGTCGTTGGTGAGATAGGGGCACTGGCTGGCCACTTGATGCAGGAAATTGTACAACAACTGCCTGTTTCTTCGTAGAAGAATGACATAATCCTCCACTGATGGCGTCCGGGCCTCAGCATCGTTTTTGGGGGAACCACTGGTCCAGCTGCCGAGGAAGCCGTTCCCGTTCTTTGGTTTCACCTTGCCGATGTTGATAAAATCGCCAATGAATCCCTCAACAGCCGCTACATGCTCCCGCAGATCAACATGTTCATGCAGGACGCGAATAAACGGCTCAAACGCAGCCACAAGATCCTTGACTGCTTTGGTCAAAAGATCTGGTTGCTGACGGCAGAGTACGTTTGGAATTTCCTCGCGGTCTCTGATCATGAGCAACGTCGAGAAGTATTCAAGATACTGGGCGTGTTGTTCTTCTGTGAGGTTCTTCAGCAAACTGGGATTGGACCTCCTTAGAATAGTCACCACCATTGTTTCTGGGGTGCGTATGCTGTGATTGCGGGCCTCGTCATGCTCCTCCCTTGGGCTGCCAACATGAACTTTGATCGCATCAAGTTGGCACTTAGACGAGGCAAGTTGACCTCTGGTCTTTTCAATCTTGTCAATGGTTTTTCTTGACTCGGTGTTATCCCAAGAGAGAACCATCGAGATGATCCTAGAGAGTCAGCTATTGTGACAATCGAGACAGGATAAGGGCAAAAGAAGCATACTTTTGTAACAGATTCATGCCATCATCCGCATCTTGGGTGAGTCCAACCCAGTTGGAAAGTGCACCGACGCCCACTTTGGCCAGCAAAAGTCGCATCATGCCGTGAATCATGGTGGCGGCATTTCCTATGCGCAGAGTCTGCTTAACCATGGAATAAGGTAGCAACTTATGCACATTTTCCATGAGTTTGAGCAGATATGGTCCCTCAGGGGTCAGGACGAAGACATGATGTAGCAGTGTTGCCAGACTAGAAACCCCTATTAATAACGGCTTCGAAATACCTCAAAGATAGGACTCACTGGATAATGATGTAGTCCACTGCAGCTTGAACACCAGACGAGTGTTCCTCCAGACTCTTCTGCTCAGCAGCGCAGCGGAACAGTTCATCAATCAGATTCCCATACAGCAACTCATGCACAGCATCCTCCCATGCCCGCTCAAGATCCTCCGCTTGTGATCGGTCATAGTTGCCCTTGAGATTTCTCTTCTCTCCTTGTTCAAGACCTCCGAGTATCCCCCGGGAAACCACTTCGTGAATCGACGACGCAGCAGTGGCCAAAGTCTTCCTAGCACCCAGCGACCCCTTGTCGTAGCTCTCGGAAAGATTCGCCTCTGCAAGCTTTTCCAAGATGCCTTGAAACTTTTGGTGCCAAAACTCTGGTGGCAGATCCCGAATTCCCGGAAATGACAAAACGATGGTCCGGAGCACTCCGGCTAGTAAAGGTGACGACGAGTCGGTGGCATATGTCGGTGCGCTAGTACTGTCATTCTTAGTGCGTTGGGCAAAGGGATATCCATACCCTGAAATGGTGGCAGGGTGCTTGAAGCTTTCGACCTCTGCATATGTCTCGTGATGGGTGAGGATGTCCAAGAGCGCGTGCAGCTGGGTCGAGGTCAAAGTTTGGGGGGTTACAGAGGCCGACTTCCGTGTACTTGGGTCGCCAGATTGCTGGTGTTGGTGATGGGCCGGCTCCATGACGGGAGCTTGCGTTGTTAGTGCTGGGTGTGGACGGACAGAGACAAGTCGGTATAGGGTATACTGCTTGATGTTTCATAGGCGAATTTAACAGGTCGGAGGAGGGAGGCTGAAGGTGTCACAGGTTAGAGTTGCATGTATCCAACTGAAAGCCATGTGGCAGATGTTGCGGCGCAAATAGCTGAGGTGACGTCAGGAGGAGCGAGCGGTGATTGGAGCAGAGGATGATAGGTATGCTGAAGGTTGTCGAATTCAGGCTGCTTGGATGCATTCATCCCCGAGCATAGGCAATAGGCCCACTGCACGATTCATGAAGCGATTCGAATCAGGGACTCTCTCGGGCGACCATGTTGGACCATTTTGGGCGGTGGGTTGGCAGAACATGACAAAGATTGTCTGAGAGTTTAAAGTTGAGAAGACTGGTGGGACGAACCGTCGTCTGGTCTGGTCTGGTCTGGTCCCGCGTGATTGGAGCCGCCAGGAACAGCCACCCGGTCACCTCTCACTTTCTCTGCCAGTCGGAGTATTTTCTACGCAACGTTTTTGGCTTCGGAGGCAGGAAGCCTTCTTGGGTTCTTGGGTGCTTCTTGGAAGTTGGAGGAGGCAGGGCGACAACCCTAACCCAGCCCCTGGACTTAGCGCAAGCGAAATGTCCGACCCCGATCGATCGGGAATTTCTTCTCTGATGCCGCTTCCATCACGGCGCACACTGCTCGCCGTGTCTGTCACCATGGTGTATCTGCCACACCACAGTCAACAACATCTGCCAGTGTTCGGTTGCCACTATGCCCGCCTTGCATCTTTGGGCCCTGGGTGACAAATGCTGGACACTCAAAGGTTGGACAGATGGCCGACTTGCCCGCTAGCCGGTGAACGGCTTTTTGCACCGCTTGTGGCTGGTCAGTGGTCGTGACCGTCGAGTCAATCACGTCGCGTCCCAATGTCGAGCCAGCACAGGCGTCCATCAGCAGTGGCTGGCAATTGTCCATCGATGCTGCGGTCCAAACGGCGCCGTTCACCGGCCATCGTCCACCGGCCGAGGAGAAGTCGTTGTTCCAGCCTGTCGGTCCTGTCCTGGTGTTCATCGGACGACTGGCTTCTCTTGTTGAACGTCTAGTGCGGGCACCGCCGCGGAAATGTGAGTGGCCAAGAACGATATCACGGCTATCAGGCAGCCGTTGATGATCTAGCGAATGGTAGAGGGTTGGCAGGAGTCCAAAGAGTATGTTTGGAAGTGGTTGGAGGTCGTGGCGACAGCCAGTGTATATATGTGCTTGAGAAGTCTCTCAGTTCGAGAATACTGTACCAGCTTCAGGTCATCAACAACCACCTCAGACATTTGACGTTCTTCTCACATTTACACGAAATACCCGCACAGCCGCAAGCACCGTATAGCCTCAGAAGCAACACCATGAAAACAGCCACAATATCCTCCCTCTGGTTAGGGAGCTGGCTTCCGGCCGCCTTGGCTGAGATGGTCACTCACGATCACAACTTCCACCCAGATCATATTCTCAGAGTCACAGAGGCTCAGGTGCCACTGTCATGCGAGAGTCGAACAGATATCCTCGTCAACGGAACGTCTCCAGGCCCCGCTCTTCACATCCTGCCTGGGACGAGCAGTTGGATCAGGGTTTACAATGATATGCCTGACCAAAACCTGACCATGGTGAATCTCTGGTAGTTCCCCTCCCTGGTGAGCATACGCTGACTAAGATACAAGCATTGGCATGGCCTGACACAGAGAATGGCCCCCTTCGCTGATGGAACGCCTCTCGCCTCTCAGTGGCCCATTCCTCCAGGGCACTTCTTCGACTATGAGATTGCAACCAACAATGATGACGCCGGCACTTACTTCTACCACTCCCACGTCGATATACAGGCCATCAGCTGCACAGGCCCCTTGATCGTTGACGACTGTGGAAGCTCGCCTTACCACTATGATGACGAGCGCATCCTTCACTTCCAGGACTTCTTCCAAAAGTCAGATCAAGAGATGATGAACGATGTTACTAAAGGCCCTTTCAAATGGGCTGGTGAAATCCACGGCGTTCTTCTCAATGGAAAGGGTGTTGCCACCGGCCAACAAGCCTCCATTGGCCCGTCCGGCGGAGGCAGAGGTTTCTTCGGTGGTCGCCTCGGTGGTCGTCCTGATGGTTTCGGTGGCAACTTCCGTCACCACGGCGGTGATTATGATGACCAGAGCGACAGCAAGGGCTGTGACTCCAAGTCTGATGACACTAGCAGTGATGACTCCAACCAAGCTCAAGTCGAAATCACCGCCGGCTGTACCCTCCCCGTCATTGACGTCGAGCCTGGCAAGACCTACCGCTTCCGCTTCATCGGCGCCAATGGCCTTTCTTTTCTTACCATGGGCCTCGAGGACCACGACGACCTCACGATCATCCAAGTCGACGGCAGCGAGTACAACGCCCCCGTCAAGACCGACCGCCTCAACATAGGCGCCGGACAGCGCTTCGACGTCCTCTTCAAGGCCAAGACCATCGACGAGCTCGAGAAAAACGGGAACAAATCCACCTTCTACCTCCAGTTCGAGACCCTCGAGCGTCCCGAGCCCTACACTGGCTACGGCGTGGTCCGGTACGACCAATCCACGCCCATCCCCACAGCCCCGGCCAATAAGGTCCTCGACTTGCCAAGAGATCCCACCAACTGGATGGAATACACCTTCACCTCCCTCTTCCCCGAGCAGAATGAAGCCCCTTCCGCCTCTGAAGTCACCCGCCGCATCATCATCGACGCCGAGCAAAAGCAAGAAAACGCCACCGGCAAGGTCGTCTGGGAGCTGGCTCACCTTTCCTGGACCGAGCACACCTACACCAGCCCCTTGCTCGTCGACATCTACCAGCACGGCGACGCCGCCCTCCCCAACTGGGAAGCCGCCCAATCCAACTGGGGCTGGGACCCCAAGACAAAGTCCTTCCCCTGCAAGCTCGGCGAAGTCATCGAGATCGTCTTCCAAAACACGGGCTCTGAACTCGGCGGCATTGTCGAAACCCACCCCTTCCACGCTCACTCCAAGCATTACTATGATATCGGCTCCGGCCCCGGCAAGTACGATGCCGAGGCGAATAACAAGAAGCTTGAGCAGACGGGTTACAAGGCTGTCAGGCGGGACACGACGATGCTGTACCGGTATGACGAGCAGGTCGGTGTTGGTGAGCCGGCTGGGTGGAGGGCGTGGAGGCTCAAGATTACGGATGCGGGGGTCTGGATGATTCACTGCCATATTCTTTCGCACATGATGATGGGGATGCAGTCGGTTTGGACGATGGGGGATGCGGAGCAGATTCGAAAGCTGCCGCCGACGGCGATTTCGGGGTATATGACTTATGGGGGGAGCGTGTATGGGAATTCGACGCATGCGCCGAGGCTGTACCAGTATTTTAATGGGACGAATCAGTGTAGGCCCGTGGAGAAGAAGGAGAGGATCAGGGTCTACTAAGAGTTTCTCGAGGGACTGTGCACAAAAGGGAAGGTAAAATAAGGTAGGTTATATATGATACAGATTGGGGCCGGTATGGAAGCAAGAGCGTCTGGCTTTCGGGTTGTTTATAGATATTGTTGGCGGGTTGAAGTTGGATAGGGGTCAGGTGCATGGTGCGGTTGGCTGGATATCTTCTCGAGGTTTTACACATATACCACAGCAAGTATTTTTTAATTTTGTAATTCTCGACATAAAGACACAATACAAAAGACATGAAAATATCAAACAAAGCACACATTGGCGTTCTTAAAATCCAAGCATCAAACGGAGATGTCCTTGTATCACCCCTTTCAGCTGACAAGTCCCAAGACGGTCTAACCTCATCCCAGGAAATCTCCCACCAGCCTACCCCGGAAAACACAAGTTCCCTGCATACGGGATACGGGAGTTTCGAGATGAGATGATGTCAAAGCATCATCGTTCTTTTTTAAAATCCCATCGTTTTCCTCTCTCTCTCTCTTTCTCTCCTCTTTCACTCATCACCATCGTCACTCTTTTCTTTGGTGTGCTTTGATCAATCTGTCCATCGTGACATTACACTCTTTTTACACATCACTCACACACAATCACTCGTTTTACACTGAACATACAGTCTACACTCGCTCACCTTCAAAATGCACCACCAAACCCTCCTCCCCATCCTGGCCCTCGCCCTCGGCGCAGCAGCCAAAACTGACATCGGAGGCTGCGTCTCTACCAAGGTCCCCTACATGACGCAGGATACGTTGGTGTACAGGTATGCCCTGCCCTTTCCCCGCCCCCCTACCTACCTATTCCCCCCCAATCTAACATCCCCATTTAGCTCCCTCCTCTGGTACCTCCCCGACACAGGCGAAATCTGCGAAATCCTCGACTGCGGCGGCGGCCGCGCACCCCCAAAGACCAACGTCCCTGGTTGTGGGAACTACGCCGGGACAGAGGAGTACAAGCCGAGGTTCTGGACTGGGTTCAACGCTGAGCCGACTACTACTAGTGTGGTTGCGAAGCCGACGACGGAGGTGAAGACTGCGACGACGGGTGTGGAGGCGACGACTACGAAGAAGAGTGAGGTGCCGGTTGAGACGGGGGCTGTTGGCAATGAGGAGGAGGAGACGGAGGCACCGAAGCCGACGACGTTGGTTACTGTTTCGACTAGTGCTGATGGGAGTGCTGTGACGAGGACGGTGGAGGAGGTTGTGGAGAGTACTGAGGGGGCGGGTGCTGAGGGGGCGCAGGATGGGGGTGATGCTGAGGGTGAGAGGAGCAGCAGCAGTGGCAGTAGTACTTCGGTTTCGACTGCGGGTGCGGCGCCGACGGGGGTGGTGATGATGGGAATTGTGGCTGGTGTTGCGGCGGGGATGGCTTTTGTTGCCTAGAGGGTGTTGGTACCTGTGAATTAGTTTGGATAGTAATTATGCGTTTAAACTCCAAAGGGAGGAATTGAATCAAGACGAAACTGCATGTTGGCACAGCTTCTCCGCACTGCCCTGCCTTGGAATGCAAGCTTGGCCAGGCTTCTTTGTTGGAGTCGTCGGCGGGCTCAAAGGCGGTATCAGATGGCAGTAATCACGTTTTCGGCTTAGTGACACAGGCCAACCCCTTCTAATTTTCCATTCCACCCTCATTCACAGGGCAACGGCAGAAGCACCCACCGTGCTCCTCCGCCCAAGCGCCGTCGATTCCACCGACAGCCCACCAAAACACACCTCAACCAACCCTCTCTCACGTCCCTCCTCCAGCCGGCCCGCTGTCAACACGCTGCCCACTGCCCGCCCCGGAGAGCTTCGTTCACTTGACCATCGCCGTCGCGTCGTCGTGTCACTTGGCTGTCGTGAATATCAAGCACCGCAGCGAACCAGGTCCGAGTGACGTGTCCCAGTGGATTCTCAGAAGAACCAAGCCCAAGCTGCACCTCCAACTCAGTCTCGCATCAACCACAACCACAAACGCCCCCGGTCGCAGACGAGCCGACTCATTTGCACCAGCACCCCTCATTCCTCTACAGTTCGCTCGTTAATATTTTGTCGGACGCTTCCCTGCCTGGCTGTCTACCTAGCAAATTTGTGAGCGGCCAGACGTATCGATTGCAATCGCCGTTTCCAAACACTCGACCGACCGACCGATTGACTGAACTACCCCACAAACAAACAAACAAAACATGGCGTCGGACTCGGACCAGTCCTCGCAGATCATGGTGAATGGCATTCCCTATGAAGATCGCCTCATGGTCGATGGACCTAGCACGCCCCTCGACGACGATACAGTCATCCCCATGTCGCAGCAGAGCATCCCGGCTACCGAGATGCCCAACTCCCCGCTGAACCACACGACCGCGTCTTTCCGATCTGACAGCACCGACGATCTTGCCGTACCCGCCGTTATTCCCTCGTCTCTCACCCCACCCCCCTCCTCACAAGTACCTGGCGTCGCCGCCGCCGCTCCCTTCAACGCCCAGGCCTTCAATGGATCTTCACAGCTCACTGGCATCGTCTCGCCCCCAGAAACCGGCTTGGCAGCAGTCAAGAGAGAAGATGGCGTGCCTGGATACATGACACCGACGCAGGAACAAATTTCAGAGGCGTCCCCCGAGACCCTTCGTCGCATGCTCCAGAGCCTGGTGGCCGAACACGTTCAGGTCAAGATGCAGGCAGCCCACCACCGCATGCAGAACGTGCTGCTCACATTCCAGGCCCAAGAAGACGCGAACCGAGCGCAAGTCGAGCACGAGCTCACCAGACGGGAGGTGGACGTTTTGCAAAAGGCCGAATCAGCTCGGCAAGCCCGGCGCGAAATCAGCACAGCGACCGAAACCGCACAGGCGCGGTACATGAAGCTCGAGGAGATGTACAAGGAGTTGGTAGAGGAAAACAAGGCGCTCAACCAGCGGCTTAGGGGCGCCAGGAAGGTTTTGGAGGAGCGCGCCGACCAGATTGCCAGCTTGCAGGAGGATCGGGAGGTCATGCTCAACCGCATCCGGGAGAACCGTGAACACTTTCATATCCTCTGTAGTCCTGGGGGTATGTTCCATGGGGCTCTGACGCCCAAGGTCACACAGGCGCAGAGCCCTCAACAGCAGCGGGCTACACCGCGACAAACGCCTAGGTCAGCACAGAAGGAGGTCCATCATCGGGGCCGTGGTCACAATTTGGCCGATCTGCTTGAAGCACTCAGCCAGGATAACAACAGCGCGCCATCGACGCCAATCACTGGTCACCGCCCACGGGCCGCCGTAGGACCTAAGCACACTCGAAACGTACAGTCCATGTCTTCCCTCCCTACCACGCCGGTGCGATTTCGCGGTGATAACGGAGGATTATTACCATCAGTCGACCTAGTTCCCCAGACCGAACCACCACAGCGATTTCCTCGATTTTTGGCCCACACTCCCACCGCACCCAAGAGTGCTGAGCGTGAGCGACGCAGGAGTAGGGAGTCGACCATCTCGGCGGATGATAACGAGGAGTTGGCACGGCAAGCACTGAGGTCCATTACTACTGCGGCATCATTTGCCCCCCGTGCGTCTGTCAGCTCGCAGCGGTCTCGCGGGTCACAGAGGGTACAAGATGGGGAGGAGGTGGAAGAGGAGGAGATTTATGAGAGTCAGGCCAGCCAGGCCGCGTCGGAGATGTTGAGGCGGGATCCGAGGGAGAGCTTCGAGGTTGCGGCTTCGGTACAAAACTCACGAGATGGGACGCCAGCCGCGGCGGATAAGAGCGCGAAGCTTCAGGCGAAGCTGTTTGGGCCATTGAATAAGAGCGGTGGTGCTTTGGCCGGGGGTGGGAAGAGGAAGCTTGGTGAGCTTGAGCGGACTATGGATGTCTATGCCGTCGGTGGTGTCAAAAGCAAAAAGTTGAGAGATGGAAGGGTTGGGCTTGGGATACAGTACAGCCAGGAGTCGGCTTGAGAAATGGGATGAAAGAGGATGGGTGCGAGGGGCCGTCGCAGCGATGGAAGAAATTGGCCTAGGAGGATCTTGTCTCTATTTTCTTCTGGGGACCTTTGCTTCTATGGAGTTGGAGCTTCTTGATATAAGATGGGCACAGATTGCTTTTGATTGCGGTCGGGTGTGGTGGTTCATTCATGGGGTCATGATTATGACCGGGCTTTGCAGCCCTTGCTTCTTGCATGTGTTGGATTATTCTACGTTTGGATATGATCAAAAGTGCCATCATTTGCTGAGGTGTAGATATCTTGATGACTGGGCGTTTTCGTTCAGGTGAAAAAGGGTCAAGAATGGGGTGGGATAGGATTGCAAGCAGGGTAATATGGAACATATATACTAGCATTGTTGCTGTCACCAAAGGCCCGGCTCGGAGAAGATATGTACACTATGGCCGGACCGAGCCGGATCTCTTGCAACGTCAATGACAAGTGTTCGGAACCCATCCCGGGGATGGCTCCAGTTTGCAGGCGCCTCGTGATCCATCTCCCGGTGACAGATTTATGGGTGTGGGGACCCCGCATGCCGAAATCGAGTGCCGCCCACCCCCAGTCCGCTGCCCGCAGTGCCCGAATTTGCCTCCCGGGTTTGCGATTTTCCCCAGCTGCGTCCCCAGCGCGCCCAGTTGCCGGGGGACATGGTGGGCGGTTGAGGTCTGGTGTGGAATCCACGTCCCCGGTTTCGCGGCCGCGAGAAAACCCGATTATTTTTATTCACTTTTGTTTTGTTTCCGGTTTCTTACTTTTGCCTCCTTTTTTCTTCTTTTCTTTTTGGTTTTATCTGAACGATACCCTCCAAGTCCGTCCGTTTGTCTGTAGCTGCCTGCTGTCTGTCGTCTTGGTGTAGCGTTCCGATCTCTTCACTCACCAACACAACTGCCGAACTCACAACCCCCTCCTATACCGGCCTGCCTTTTTTTCCACCACCCACGAAGCCACATCTCAGAAAAAAACAACCGCCAAAATGTCCCTCCCCCGCGGCCTCAAATCCGTCCTTACCAAAGCCCCCACCGACGTGGTCATCCTCTCTGCCCTCCGCA